CAACAACAACAACAACAACAACTTAACAGTTCTTAGGTCCTTGGTTAGGACTCGAGCTGTTAAGCTACCAACCAAACCCAAAGGCTGTGAATCTCATCAAAGATTAACCACATAATAATAATATAATTGTGATACATTTTTAAATGTTCAGCTGACTGAGTATCATGTAATAATAATAATAATAATAATAATAATAATAATAATAATAATAATAATAATAATAATTTAATGAATAAAGTATAATAATAATGCAAAAAAAAACACCCCACCACTCATGCTCACTCTATCTTGGCACCTCCAAAACTCAGTTCCCCCAACTGCCAGTTGTCAAGCTCAATTTCCAAAAACCTACACACCCATATTGTTTTGGGTTTTTTTATTGCTCCCCTATTTGCCTTTGGTGGCTTCTGGGGTGGATTCCTCCCCTCCCACCCATCCAATTCCCAGCCTAGCCTGGCGTCCCCAGAACTCCCATCACCATACTGACTAGGATCATCCTTAAATAATGATGTTGTTGTTGTTTTTCCAGATGGGATCAGTCAAGGAGAGCTTGGATCTACCAGCCGCAGTGCTCCTGTGCGTTACTTACAACCCCCTGTAAAGTGACAGCCATCCCCTCTCTCTCCCCCTGAGGACCCCCTCCCCTCTCTCTTCCCCAAGAGGGTCTTCTCCAGTCCCCGAGAGTCTCCTTCACCTCTTGCCAGCCCCTCTCCCTCCTCCCTCCTCCCTCGCTCCCTCACCCCCATCCACCCGCAAGATCGGTGCCCATTTGCAACCCATCCGTTTATGCAACCTGTCCACCAGGTGTAACCTACGTCCTACTTGTTTAGATGCACGTTGTAAACATTGCAAAGTTGCTTGATTTTTGTCTTTTTTTTTTTGGTCCTCACCTGCTGCCCTGAATTCAGCTTCCCCCGCCCCTCCCCTCCCCTCCCCCACCCCCGCTAACCGGGCCGCTACGGCTCCACCTGCTTCCGGGATGATAGTCGGGGATTCCCGTCAACCCCGCGGCTCACCGGAAGTGCAACCGACAAGCCGCTCTAGCCAACGAGTCTCTCTCTCTCTCTCTCTCTCTCTCTCTCTCTCTCTCCCCCTCCCTCTCCCACCCTTCTCTCTACGCGCCGATTGGGCCGCCCTCCTTTTGCTGGTAGCCAATAAAAGCGTAGGGGAGGAGAAAGGGGGCGGGGATTCGAGTTGGAGCGACAGGAGAGGGGCGGGGCGGTCCTTGAATGCTTTATTAAATGAAAGCTACATTGATATATATATATAGAGAGGGGCTTTTTTGCAGGACTTTTTTTTGGGGGGGGGGTGGAGTAAAAAAATAAATATTATCTCGAACGACCCTGTGTGCACCTTTGTTATGCATAGGCTTTCAAGGCTGCACTAGCATTGCACTAGTCTAATTTCAGAGGCTTGGGTGCAGGCAGGGGGATGCCTATAGATACACCCAGCTCTAAAAGGGTGATTTACTTTTGCCAAGTAAAACTCTATTTCACCTTACGATTGGAGGCTGTTCTAACGACAGAGAGGTGAGTAGCGGCTTTGCAATGTCCCCCACCCCACCCGTTAATACTGCAGGTCCCAGAGATGGGAATTCAGTTTAGACTGAACTCCCAAGTCAACCCAGCATCAACGTTAAAATGCAGAAGTTTGTTCTTGTCCTTTGGTCAGACTGAGATTATTGTGATCTCATCAATTCAACCTGTTGTGGGGTAGTCACTTAAGATGAAGGGCCATCAAGAACACTTTTTGCCTTTTGACTGGCTTTTGATAAATGCATTATGTTTATGCTTGTTCCAGTATGCTCAAAGTTAAAAGGTTTTTTTTTAAAAAAAGAACCCTTGCCTGTTGTACTTTTTTTTGACAGTTTCTCTAGTTTTTATTCATAAAAGACGATCAAATGTTCATACAACAATCCTTTTTTAACATTTAAAAAAGACTGCTTTAAGCTTGGCAGCTATTATGCTAATGCAGAATAAAGGTAGACAGTCTACACCATTTCCAAAATTTGTACAGCATTTCATTAATATTGCCTCTGTTCAGGCCTCCTTGTGTGATGTACTTGAGAGAGAATGGCCAACCAACAAGGGGATACAAAGGTTCAACTGATTATTATCTGATCTGGGAAGCATTTTATCAATGGTTAGAGAATAAAAAAGGGAAATTGGAAATAAAGGAGAAAACAACAAGAAGAATAGCAAATACATTAAGATAGAGATAAGAGTAAAATGGCAACTGGTAACATGAGTATGATGAGGCTAATGTTATTATTGTATTTTTATTAGAAGGTATGTTATGAAGGAAATGAAAAGTGACACGTATAATTAATTATTCAATGTATATTATTTGTGGAATGATGTAGCACAGAAATATTTCTACCCAGACGACACACTGCTTAAGGAGAGGTGAAGTGTTTATAATTTTTTTTAGAATGGAAAATAAATAAAAAACTTTAAAAAGGGAAGGGAGGATACAGAGATTCAACTGTGTTTAGGAGTCATACTTTAGGAGGAACACAACCAAGATTGATAGAAGATGAAACGGAGGAATATGGAGTGTCCCTATTTTATTTTTTAAAATTTTCTACTTACTAGAAGCAGTGCCCCTCAGTATCTTTTCTTCTGTTTTGGCCAAGGACTGCTCCTGGATTTTGATCCAGATTGGCCTTACCAGAATAACAGAGTTGGAAGGGACCTTCGAGGTCTTCTAATCCAACCCCCTGCTCAAGGAGAAAATCCTATAGCAGTGGTCACCAACTGGTATTTGTGGACCACTGGTGGTCCGTGAGAAAATTTTGGCCCGCAGTGCTGGAGCATCCCACAACCTCTGGAGATAGAACTCAGCTAACCAAACACTGCGTGGAGCAGTTGGTGTTTGCCAGCCTAGCTAATCGGAGCAGGGCAGGAGGTCTTGGAGCTGAGATATTTGCTTGATTGCCCTCCTTGACTAGAATTATCCTGGCTCACATGGGTATGAAAAGTTGGTTGTGGTTGTCATTGTCTTTCTGTCCCCTGTGCTCTGCAGAGGCAAATTGCCCCAAATTACCTTCCAGAGAATGATGAAAAAACTCTTAATTAGCAGATTGATGCTCCCATTAGATTGATTCCTTTGTATGTGGCTCCAGATGCTTTTTTTCCTGGCTGTGGTTGGTTTTACTAATTGCCACGTGTGCTCCGGATTGTTGTCAGTTGTGTTGCACACTGCTGAGAGTCTTTTGACTGTGGCAGTGATAAAAATGTAAGAAAGAAACAATGACATAAAGCAGCGGTCACCAACTGGTGATCCGTGGACCACTGGAAACACAAGAAAATGTTGGTGGTCCATAGAAAAAATATTTGCATTTTTTATATTGCACAAACTAGGGCCCCTAGGACGGATACGTGAAATGAATGTTTGTGTTACTGCAGAGAGTCTCCCTCTTTGGGGTCTTTTTGTGCGGGTCGGAGGGGGGCAGAAATTCTGATTTGGGGCCTACTTTGGCCTCCAGGGGGAGGGGGCTTTGTATGAAGGCTGGAGGGAAATGCCGCTGATGGCGAAGAGCCGGAGGGCCTTGTTCCAGTGGGACTGCATCATGGCCTGGAACTGGCTGACCATCTCAGCCCGTTGAGTCTACAGGTGCCAATACTTGGCCTTGCACTCCCGCAGGTCTTCCCTCTGCTTGGAAAGCCTATGCTCCTAGTCCTCAGTGAGGTGCTTCTGCTGAGCCTCCTTCTCGGTCAGATCCAATTTGAACTGAGCCCTTTTGCCAACTCTTTCTCATGGTGGCTGCCTAACTCCAACAACTGCTTCCTGATGGGACCCTAAGGAGCCTGGGCAGGCAGGC